TGTTTCTGTTTCATGACAGAACGATCTGACCATTATGGATCCAGTGAGTGCATCAGATTTAAGAGACTTTTTGGCTCACAGTAATTCACGCATGGATCAGCAGGAGGAACAGATGGCAGCCTCTAATCGCGCTGTTCAAGCCCTGGTCTCTCAGGTCTCGGAGCTTACCACCCAGCTACAACATTTCCAGACTGAGTCCGTCCAGCAACACACTGCGCCTAATCCACCTGTGTCTTCTATCCCGGATCAGGCCGCTCGTTTCACCGAACCCCGCCTTCCGCCTCCAGCTTTTTACTCTGGTGAGTCCCAGCAATGCCGCTCTTTTCTTGCCAAGTGTTCTCTGTATATCTCTCTTCAACCATCGTCGTTTCCTACGGAGGAATCGAAGATAGCGTTTGTCATAACGCTGCTCTCTGGACGGGCGGCTCTCTGGGGAACTACCGTTTGGGAGCAGAGGCTTCCTTGCTGCACGTCATTTCAGTCGTTTTCGGATGAGATCAAGAAGGTTTTTGATCGGGCGGCTTCGGGCAGAGAGGCGGCTCGTTTTCTAGCGGAGTTACGGCAGGGAGATCGGAGCGTCGCGGATTACTCCATCGAATTCCGCACCCTGGCGGCGGAGTGCCGTTGGAATCTTGAAGCGCAGTGGGACATGTTTTTACATGGACTTTCTGATTATATCAAGGATGAGATCTACGCACTGGAGTTACCTACAACACTGGATGGATTAATCGATCTGGCTATTTGGGTGGATACAAGATTGCAGTGGAGAGATCAGCGAGCGCGCTGAGCTCCGGTGGCCAATCTACTGAACCACCTTTCTGCCATCTCCTCTGACGCAGACGTTTCCTTCTCCGAACCGGAACCTATGCAGATGGGCAGATCCCGTCTTTCCCTGGAGGAGAAGCAAAGGCGGCGAGATAAGGGTCTCTGCCTGTATTGCGGAGCTGCTGGTCACATCGCAGCACAGTGTCCCGTAAAAGCCAGAACCCGTCAGTAGGTAAGGGGTTACTGGGTAATTTTTTAGACTATGATCTTGCTTTCAGACTTAAACTCCCTGTGGTTGCTCTCTCCTAGCCTATTGCTGTCCATGCTCTCAATGGTCTATCTCTTCCTTCCATCACTCACACTACAGGTCCAGTAAGACTCCTCGCTTCTGGTAATCACACTGAGATCATTCATTTTCTTTTAACTGACACGCCTGTTACTCCAGTAGTCCTTGGGCATCCCTGGCTTGTGCTTCATAACCCTTATATAAATTGGAGTAAGAACTCTATTGTCTCTTGGAGTGAGAGTTGACATGCTGCTTGTTTGTTGTCTGCCTGTTCTTCTTTGTCCTGTTCTGTGTTTCAGGATGAGGATATGGACCTGTCAAACGTGCCCAGTGAGTACCTCGACCTGAAGAGAGTGTTCAGTAAGTCTCGAGCTGCTGCTCTACCTCCGCATCGACCCTACGACTGTGCAATAGATTTATTACCAGGTACGTCTCCGCCTAAGGGCAAATTTTATTCGCTTTCCGCCCCGGAAAGGGAGGCCATGGAGATATATATTTCTGATTCTCTAGCAGCCAAGATCATTCGCCCTTCTTCGCCGGCGGGGGCGGGGGTTTTTTCGTGAAAAAGAAAGACAGGTCTCTTCGTCCCTGTATCGACTATCGAGGGCTGAACAACATCACGGTGAGGAATACATATCCTTTGCCGGTGCCTCGACCTGAAGAGTGTTCAGTAAGTCTCGAGCTGCTTCTCCACCTCCGCATCGACCCTATGAATGTGCAATAGATTTTACCAGGTACGTCTCCACCTAAGGGCAAACTTTATTCACTTTCAGCCCCGGAGAGGGAGGCCATGGAGAAATATATTTCTGATTCTCTAGCAGCCAAGATCATTCGCCCTTCTTTATGTCAAGGCGGAGAAATGCGCTTTCCATGCACAATCTGTTCCTTTTTTGGGCATATCCTTTGCCGTTGATGTCTTCTGCCTTTTTGAACGTCTGCAGGGGGCGTCCTTTTTCACGAGATTGGACCTCCGCAACGCTTATCATTTGGTTCGCATAAGGGAGGGGGATGAATGGAAGACTGCTTTTAATACCCCCAGGGGGCACTTTGAATATCGTGTTCTTCCCTTTGGGCTTTCCAACGCCCCCGCAGTCTTCCAGGCACTCGTCAATGACGTGTTGAGAGAAGGGTCTACTTTTATTTGTGTACACTCACAATATCAGCAAACAATTGTGCTTTTGCAAAATAAACAGGGTGTGGTTTTAGCCATCTCATTCTCCGCACATATCTGTTTGAAACGCGTCAAATGAACTGAAACTGAGCGAATATTTGACACACACATGAGATATATCTATAGAAAGCTTAACATGTCTACTTTTAAAAGAAGTAAGTCATGACGAAAACTAATATTATGTGACAAAGTAATCAGTATGAAACCAACGCGATGTCAAGTCTTGGCCGTCGCCCTCATTATCGCTAATGTGACCACAGGAAGTTTTTTTTTACATTTTTTTTATGTTCTATAAAATCGACAGCAACGATATAAAAGTAATGCGAGTTATAATGTTAATATGTTGAATGTTTTATACTCGGTCATTGGCGTTCGCGATCGTCTGATGTGTAAACGTATCAAGTAAGCTGTAAATAAGTGATGCATCGACAGACATATACACGCGTCCTTTCTTATCAGTGATGCAATTTATTTATCAGCTATGCATCTTCTGGTAATTGCTAACAACTGTTTTAATTTGCTTCAGAGGCTGTTAGAGTATGGTCTTTGTCAAGGTGGAGAAATGCGCTTTCCATGCACGGTCTGTTCCTTTTTTGGGTTACATCGTGTCAGTCGAGGGGATGCGCATGGATCCGGACAAGATTCAGGCTGTGGTTGATTGGCCAACTCCAGATTCCCGCAAGGCCCTGCAGAGGTTTCTGGGCTTTGCCAATTTTTACCGGCGTTTTATTCGCAATTTCAGCCAGCTAGCCGCCTCTTTGACTGCCTTAACCTCCACCAAGACTGCTTTCAGGTGGTCCAGTGCAGCGGATGCTGCATTTTCCAAACTCAGAAGCTGCTTCGTTTCAGCTCCCATCCTTGTTGCCCCTGATTCGTCCCGGCAGTTTGTGGTGGAGGTTTACGCATCAGAGGTGGGGGTTGGCGCGGTCCTATCCCAGCGTTCCCTCGCGGATGGAAAGGTGCATCCTTGCGCATATTTTTCTCACCGTTTGTCTCCCGCCGAGCGTAATTATGACATTGGTAACAGAGAGTTGTTGGCAGTCAAGCTTGCCTTGGAAGAGTGGCGTCATTGGTTGGAGTCAAGCTTGCCTTGGAGGAATGGCGTTATTGGTTAGAAGGTTCGGGGGTTCCTTTTGTCTAAGAACTCAAGAATAAGAATCTTGAGTATATCAAATCCGCTAAAAGATTGAACTCTAGGCAGGCTCGGTGGGCTTTATTTTTCGGTCGTTTCGATTTTTCTATTTCTTATCGGCCGGGCTCCAAGAACATCAAGCCCGATGCATTATCCCGTATTTTTGACCATTCGGAGCGCCCATCTTCTCTCGAGCCCATTGTGCCACAGAAGATTTTTGTTTCTGTAGTCACATGGGAGATTGAATCGAAGGTCCGCACGGCCTCTCAAGGGGTAACGCCTCCGCCCGGATGCCCACCGGGTCGTTTGTTTGTGCCAGAGACTTTACGGTCCGATGTCATTCGATGGAGTCATTGTTCCAAGGTGGCTTGTCATCCTGGGGTGAGTCGTACTATGTTTCTTATTAAACAACGGTCCTGGTAGCCATCTATGGCTCGCGACATATGATGTTTTGTTTTGGCTTGCTCTGTCTGTGCCGTTTCTAAGACTTCCAATCGACCCCCTGCTGGACTCCTTCAGCCGCT